GAAAAGGACAGTTCCTGGAATAAAGATTTAATGCTAGTTAGATACAAACATTTGTGAGTTGTATTTACCATGAACCTTTATTTTTTATTCTTTCAAATACACTTCATTTCAAAGACATACAGTAGAATATTATGTTCATATTGATCATATTGTCTGTGTATGACAAAGCAGATATTTCTTCTCTGTATCCCCAACCAGGGGTGGACTGACAACTCATGGGGTACCCGGGCAATAGGGGATCATGGGGCCCCTGTGTCCTTGCACAAACTCAAAAAAGCCTATGAAAAAGGTACCAGGGGCATCTCATGGGGCCCCCTACTGACCCCGGGCCCTTGGGCAGTGCTCAAGTTTCCAAATGGTCAGTCCACCCCTGTCCCCAACTCTTTCCACAAAAATGGGATTCAGGATTTACCTATTTCACCTAACCCATTATATGTGAAATCTGGTGCAGCGAGTTTTCTATTCTATGCTAATGCAATATAGTAATAGAAACTCTTTCCTAGGTAAAAAACAGAGACTACCATTGTTAACCTCTTTATAATAATTAAAATTTCCTGGCAGCCACTAGCACTAACAATTTGAATAACAAATCCAGAACAAGTATGATTCTAGTTTAACCATAGGAAAGCCAGAACTCTTGGCACACAGGTTCCAAAGCTTTTGAATCAACATAACAGTTCCTTTTACAATACAGGTGTTCTACATAGGAACACAGTACCGCTCTGATGGTATTAGTGTTAACTGAAATTGCACCTATAACAGGTTTCTTGAGTGGAAACAGTTACAGTGATACCTTAGTTCATGAACTTAATTTGTTCCACGTCTCTGGTTGTGAACCGAATTGGTCACGAACCGAGGCAAATTTGGCCATAGGGTTCAATGTAAATCAGGTTAATCTGTTCTGACCCCTGCAAACCTGGTCACGAACTGAATTTGGTCACCAACCGAATAAAATTTTCCCATAAGGTTCAATGTAAATAAGGTTAATCCGTTCTAAACTTTTGTTTTTGAACCACAAAAATATGAAACAAAGTACAGTACAGTATGAAGAGAGAGAACACTAACCTTGCTTGAGGCTACTTCTGGCATGGAGGACAGGAAAGACGGGTGGGAGGAGGTTATTGTTCGGAGGGAGAGTCCCCCTCCATAAAGACATTGGGGAGATCTCCTTCAGGGGTTTCCTGTTTTCTTTGTCTCTTAGCTGCAGGCTCAGTTTTGGTGAAAAATCTGTCCAATATCACTTGTCATTCCTGTGCTGCATAACCCTCCGGAAATGAGAGACCACGTTATCATTCATCAGATTCAACACTCTGCTACAGTTATGTTGGGGTGGTGCTTTTGGTCACCTTCATTACCACTCTGCACTTTCTTTTCAACAACATGTTTGCTCTGCACATTCTTGTCACCTTCATTATCGCACTTTTTTTTTTACCACCATGCTTGCCCTGAATTTTCTTTGAAGCCATGCTGGATGTCCAGTACAGCAAGTGTGCACAGGGATGTACAGTACAGTATGTGCTAAAAAGCGCACCAAAAAGCTCAGTACTGTAAGTATCTTCACAGTATACATTTAGTGTCTGTCTGTGACCGCAATCTCGCCTACAGTAAGTCAGAACCATGTGTCAGAGCAGGGAAGATGGCCACGGCTTGTGTACGTCAACTGAAGCGGAATTTGCGAGCCAAAGCAAATTTTTGCAAATTCTTCTGTTCGCAAACTGAGTTGTTCATGAACCGAGGTATCACTGTATACTGTACATGTAAACACACACACACTAATGCCAAAAGTGAGGTTTATTTACTAAAGAAGTAGAAACTGTTCACTGAACAAAGTGACCAAACTTTTTAAGAAAAGGTTAAAAAAAAAAACTCTGGATTTGTGGTCCAGGGTCTTGGCAAAAGTATGTGCAGAATCACTCTAGGGAATGTTTCCTAAACCAAAATGTACTGCATGGCGTTTGAACTATGGTCAGCAAACTTAGGCTGAAAGGAGGCTTTCCCCTGCTAGCCCCCTACTATAAAAGAGGAGGCCATGCAACTGTCAGAGTATCAGTGTATTGGAGGCTGTAGGGAAAAGATGACAAACTCCTTAGGAAAAGATTAGGATCAGTTAAAAAACTGTACTTTAATTCAGCAATGCAGCAACCAACCCATTGCATTTTTGGTTCTTATTTGTGGGGTGTTTTTTGTCTTCTGTTTTATTTTGTGGTTGAGTTGAGGCCAGTGGATACTTGTAGCTGTTGTCCAGTCTTTGAGAAGCTTTTTTTTGTTTACTGCAAGGCTGTCCTTAATTAAAAAAAAAAATAGGCTTTTGTTTTGGGGTTGGTATTTTCATTTACTTTGGTGGTATATTATTTTATTTTGATTTTGGACTTTTGGATTTTTGCAACAAAGTTTGACACAAGGGCTTTTTTTTCTGGGGGTATTATCTTATTTATTTTTTTAGGTAAATTGGTTTTATTGTATGTTGATAAGGTCTTTTTGGATTAAACTCCTCTTGCTACAAGGCTTACCTTAAATGGAAAAATGAGCTTTTGTTTCAGAGGTGGTATCCTGGGGTTTTTAGTTTCTTTTGGATTTTGTTTTTATTCATGTTCATAGGGCCTTTCTAAGTTTGAGGTGATGAAAGCACAGCATTGATTGTTACTAATCATCTGCTATTGAATCTACCTTTTGTTTATAGCATGTTTGAAAGAAAACTAAGTGCAAGAGCAGTGTGCTTCTAACCCATCTCACATAAAATTAGTCACATTCACCACACACTCCTATCCCCAGAGATAAAATAAAAGTTAGGTATAAGCCAGTTAGATCTATTATCCCTAATTATAACTGTCCTGCAGATGGTCAGATTTACACTCCTGTATCCAATGTAGTATCTGTTTCAATTTTTGCTGTAAAACCCCAGCCTGTACAATATGTATCTAATAAATCTGGGGCTACCCTTGCTATTTGTAATTATCCTGCTGCAGACCAATTATATACTCCTGTGTCTTCTTCCGTCTCTTAATTATTAAAGCCTACGTTTACTTAAAACAAACAAAACATCAGCACAAGGGACATTACTTACCTTAAGTGAGATGTGTCCCTTGTGCTGTTGTGTATGCCTATTGATCATCTACCCATCCTCTATTCATAGATCCTGTTTCATTCACAGGCCCTTAGTTCTATTTTCTCTATATCATCAGAAGATTATGGCTACAGAGGTAGGGGATCATCAGAGAAGAAAGGAGGACACAGCAGCATAAGGGACACATCTCACTGCAGGAAAGTGATGTCCCTTTTTTTTATTTTTTTATTTTTTATGTTAGGTAGAATTTGGATTTAATGAGAATGTGATATAAATTGGCCAGCAGCAGGACAGTATTGCAACAGCAAAAAAACAGGAACAACCTAAGTGAACTATGGGCTAATTTCTACCTGCCAGTCAAAATGGGCCTATTCCTGACTGATGAAAAAGCATGTTTCATTGCTAAAACATGAAAAGAATGTATTTATTTACAAACTAAAATGAATCAGATGGGGTGCTGCTGCCATATGTACTCCAAGCTAATTGTAAAAGAAAAATCAATTTCATAGCCACAAATGCAGTGTCACTGTACACCATGGCTGTACAGCTTTAAAACCTCCCCAAAGCATATTATTTAAAGGGTTTGTTTATTTTTAATGTTGCTGCAAGGTATCTATTTATTTCATTGGTAAGTGTCCCCCCTACAATGCCTAGCTTCCCATGCCTCTTTGACAGTAGTCTGCCTCTCAGCCCTAAAAATGGCCAGGATTTAATTACGGGATTCACTCCCATCATGGATTCAATAGGATTCAGTGATACGTTTGGGTTTGTATGAACCCCTGGTGAATAAAACCTGGACAAATGTACCCATTCCTAGTTCAAGTAGACAGAGGAAAATGTGAAATAAACTCGAGTCCCTCCTGCTGGCTGATTAACGACTACACAACATTCATATGAAATATTTCATATTTACTTGAGTGGAACAAAAAACAATTATATTGTGATTAATTAAATTGGCAAATTTATATAAAGGAAAACCATTTTTAATGTAAAATAGGGTGAAACTGTGGAGAGGTGAATAAATGTGAGTCTTCCTCTTCATTTCATCAATTCCTAGGACCTGTTCATACCTTAATATAGGGGAACTCTTCACCAACCAAGATCATCCAGGAGATTCCATAGGTCTCACATTTAGCATTTCAGAAACACAACTTTATTTTATACAGCTGGCAATATTTTGAAAACTTAATTCAGTTGATTTTTACTAAATATTTTAAATAAAGAGACTGTTTAGCATGTTTACTCTTATTCAGGCGAAGTTAAATGCGTGCAGAGGAAATATTTAGTGAAGATTCTCCTTGCTGCTTGATGCTGAGTATGCAGAATGAAGCCCTGCTGTTAGTTTAATTCTGGAATGCCCTTCATTTACCTCATTTCAGCTAGCAGCAATTAAAGCTAAATGTCATTTAGACATTTGTGTGTGAGCTTTGTGAGTTAAGAAAACAAATATGTACACTGTTAACAAGAAATGAGAGTGTTATACACATAGTTCATCGAGTACAAAATGTTTAAAATGTCATTAAAGATTACTTGGCTGCAAAGGAGGGATTTTGAATGCCAGGATTCAATATTTGATGTACATTTATAGTGCTATAAACAAAACTGTTACATTAACTACTAGCCTACAGGGCACTTATACCCCCTTCCTGCCCAGGCCAATTTCCAGCTTTCAGCGCTGTCACACTTTGAATGACAATTGCGCAGTCATGCAACGCTGTACCCACATGAAATTTTTTATCTTTTTTTGTGACAGATAGAGCTTTGTTTTAGTGGTATTTAATTACCTCTGGGTTTTTTATTTTTTCTTAAACAAACCAAAAACCACTGAAAATGTTGAAAAAAAAAGTTTTTTCTTAGTTTTTGTTATAAAATTTTGTAAATAAGTGATTTTTCTCCTTCACTGATGTGCGCTAATGAGGCTGCACTGATGGGCACTGATAGGCTGCACTGATGGACACTGATAGGTGGCACTGATGAGCACTGGTGAGGAGGCACTGGTAGGTGGCACTAATGGGCATTGACAGACATCACTGATGGGCACTGAAAGGCAGCACTGATACATGGCACTGATAGGCGGCACTGATAGGCAGCACTGACTGGCACTAATAGGCGGCACTGACTGGCACTGATAGGTGGCACTGACTGGCACTGTTAGGCAGCACTGACTGGCACTGTTAGGTGGCACTGACAGACATTGATAGGCGGCACTGATGCACACTGATAGGCAGCACTGACTGGCACTGATAGGTGGCACTGATTGGCATTGATGGGTGACACTGAAAGGCAGCTCAGATGGGCATTATGTGGCATTGATGTGCACTGGTAGGCACTGATATGTGGCACTGATGTGGCACTGATGGGCACTGGCACGAGGCACTGATGAGCACTGACATAAGGCACTGATGGACACTGACAGGTGGCACTGCTGGGGCTACACTGATGATCAGGGCACACTGATCATCAGTGCCCTGAGGATCTGTGTACATGTCCCCTCCACGGAAAGCCGATTACCGGCTCTCCTCTCCTCTCGAGCTGTCAGTGTGACAGCTCGAGAGGAGAGAAATGCCGATAACCATCATTTCCCTGTTTACATGTGATCAGCTGTGATTGGACACAGCTGATCACATGACCGAGCCGACAACTTCGTCTCTTTCCGTGATTGGTGATCCGCTGTGTCCGAGGGACACAGTGCATTGCCGATCGCCGCTCTTCACGCTCCCTGAGCCGCGCATGCGCAGTGAGACTGGGAGGACGTCATATGACATCCTCCCAGAACGAGAGAACCACCTTGCGCCCATCATTGTACTATATGGTGAGTGGGAGGTGGTTAAACTTGTCCCACTCTCAATTTGGGCTGCAAGCACTACAACAGAGAGCTCATGATTCGGTTTTAGGCCTGTTGCACACGGAAGTAAAAAAAATGCTGAGTTTGTTACTGATCTAAAATGAGATGTATTGTTGTCTATGGAACATTGCACACAGCTGAATAAAGATCAGTAATACAGCATTGCGTACAGAGCAGTAAAATAGAAATAGAAAATTTTTCATTTGAGTGCAGTAATTTACTTATGTGTTTACCTGTTTAAGACAAGTGTACAATCCAAATGCATATGTTCTTGCATTAAAAATGGCTGTGTGTATAAGTGAGTGCTGCAGCGATCGTCGGCTGGAACCAAACAGAATTAGCAAGGGAAAATGTCACCAGCACACCAAGGATCACCAATATGGGTCCAAACGTTTTAATGAACAATCACATAGGTACAGCAAGGCAACGTTTTGGAGTTTCACATGACCCCTTTATCAGGCAAGTGACCATTTTGGTCACATTCCTGATGAAGGGGTCCTGCGAGACTCCAAAACGTTGCCTTGCTGTAACTATGTGATCATTCATTAAAATCTTTGGACCCATATTGGTGATCCTTGGTGTGCTGGTGACATTTTCCCTTCACCTGTTTAAGCCCCTTACACACAAGCATCATAATTTACTGGAACTTGTGACACCTGTGTACAAGGGTCCACAATACTGGCAATTAAAAATTTTACTTATCTAGACTCATCTATATGCTTACACACCTTTACTCAGCTATACTCAACATTACTCTGGTCTTCACACGCAGTTTTTGACCCTTTGCACATGGACGACACCAGATCCCAAGTAAACATCAGTAAATTCTGATGCCCGAGTGCAAGGGGCTTTGATTGCTTGGTCGTTGCTGTAGCTGAACTAGGGAAGCAAAATGACAGTGCTTTTGCTAGACCAAATAGAATATTCTCATCACAAAAGTTCCTGGAGATGGTTTGAAGCAAGTGGGTGCTGTAGCAACTAGCAGCTGTAAACCAGTATCAACAAATCAATCAAGTCACCACTCAATACATATATGGCCAGCATACCATGCGTCTTCAAGATAGCATCCTAAAATTTATTAAAGCAATTGCATCACGGCAGTAAATTGCTGGATCCTTTTATCAGGCATGGGATTATTAAGCTAGGGAACATTGAGAAGAGTGAAGCATGAGGTTAATACATAAATAAAGTAGGTAGGAGAGCCAAGTGGAGGCAAAATGTCTGAGCCAGTGGCAGTGGAACGAGGATTCATGAGTGTTCTCCTTGGAGACTACAACAGTATAAAAAAAGTGATGTGAGGCTTTAATTTTTGAAGAAAACAGACAAAGTGCATTCATCTAGCTTCTAAGAAATCAATCAAAGCAAGCTGTCTGACACTGAAATTTGATTGATCACTGTGTTCCTGCATCTTGTTAAAAAATAAATCCTATAATAATTTGTTTACCATGCTGGTCAAGAGACTTACACAGGAGTGACAATATAGGCTTTTCGTGTTTCAGCTAAATGGATGTTTTTAGTTTTGATGCACCTAGTTCTCTTCATCAAGCTTGCTGAATAAATGAAAACACACATATACATACTGTATGTGCCTTTTATATATTAACAAATATAGTGCAATAGATATCAAAGAGCAATACCAAATAAACAGATCTGAAGATAAAGCAATAGATCATGGAGATCATCAAGCAGTTTACAAGGAAGTCTAAAGAATAAATCAGCAGTTACGTAAGTGTTAAGAGCAAAGAATTCAGTCATCATAGTTTGTTATTTTATCTGATAACTGTCACAGAAACTTGTGAAAAACACAAAGGTGACAACTCAGGAAAGAAAAACTGAGACATAAATCTAATGTTTCTAATTAGACCACAACACACTGTGCTAAATTGATGCTTTAAAATGTAATTCTTCCTTCCTCTGCATCTGGCGTTCCCTATCAGGGACCCAGGGATCCAGAAATACTTAATGCTGTGGATGTTTTGGTATGAACATTTGTCCTGCTGAGGCAAGTTTACTGCTAAGTATTTGCTGTGCTGTCAGTGCAGGCACTGGAGGGAAGTGCATATGCACTACAGCTTGTTTTTTTTTTGTTTTTTTTTTATCGAAAACACTGCACAAACACAGTGATGTTAAAGGATAACTATTGCCGCAGGGTCTCCTTGAGTGGAAGCACTAACATATAATTTTGAGGACAAGCTTTTGGGGTATGTCCCCTTCTTCAAGGTCCAGGCAGTACTACTACAAAGTTTTAGCAGAATGTTAGGAGAGATGTTGAAAGGGGGAGGAAAAAAAAACAAAAAAAAAAAAAACCAGAAAGAAAACACACACAAACAGATGTATACAGCAATGGTTAAAAGACTAGGATTAGACTTGAGATAAGACACAGCAAAAGCAAAGACTGGGGGGGAACAACACTCACAGAGGGGGTCATAAAACTGTTGGATAATGCTGTGTACATCTGTTTGTGTGTGTTTCTTTCTGTTGTTTTTTTTTTTTCCTCCCCCTTTCAACATCTCTCCTAACATTCTGCTAAAACTTTGTAGTAGTACTGCCTGGACCTTGAAGAAAGGGACCTGCCCCGAAAGCTTGTCCTCAAAATTGTATGTTAGTGCAAAGAAAAAAAGTATCACGTCAGTACTCAATTGTTTCTGTCGCAAGTGCACTAATACAGCTACAATCAGCTCAAGCTTACACGTGTAAAAAATTCCTAACAGTAGATGGCTTCCCTGTAAGAATGAATGGGTATTTCTCTGTATATGTGTAGAAGCAGCAGGGTGAGTGTTAACAAGTACTGGACGAATATCGTGCACTTAAAGTATGGACCTAGAAAAAAACAAACATCTATACTCTCCTCGGTGCTGCAGCATCAGTCTTATGCTGCTGGTGTCCCATGCCAGCTCTAAGGCCCCATGTACATGGGACACTTCTGAATGATGGAAACTTTCTGCTGGAAAACGTAGGTTAAAAAACGCCTGTTTAGCCGCGTTTGCATACCGTGTTTATGAGCATTTACGTTTAGATGCGTTTTTTAAAGATAACCTCAGGAGACCTTCCAAAATGCCCTGAAAAACAGTAAAAAATTAACTATTTCAGACATTTGAGATATTTGAGAGAAATAGAGAGAGCAGTATTTGTTGAGATTAGCTGTCTTATTGTTTTTTGTGGTGTTTGGATGTGTTCCAGCTCATTTCTGTGCAGAAATTATTGCAGCAGTGTCTAACATATTTTCTTTCATGCAAAACCTCAAAGTATGGTGTACCAGGTCCATTTGAGTACCGGGAAAACGGTTTGCATGCATTTTTTTCATGATGAACAAAAGCTCTGGACAGCATCTGGAAATGGAAGATATAAAAAAAATTTCCAAATGCTTATAAACACGGTTTGCCACGTTTCCACGCATTTCCACGCATTTAAAAGCATTTGGCGTTTGAAACGCTGATAAAATCTACTCCTGAATGCAAGTTTGGTGCGTTAAAAAAAGCAACTGTAAACTCAACTGCCTGTAAACAACTGTAAACGAAGATGTGTACATGGACACATAGGAAAACATTAGGGTGAGTTCGGGGGCTGCTGAAAAAAATGCAGAAAAGCTCCTAAACGTGAGTTTATCAGCTGCAGTGTACATGGAGCCTAAGACTGCCCATACATGGTTCAGTTTTTTTTCATTTAGCCAGGCAGCTGAATTAAAAAAACTGAACAAATTCCCCTGTCCATACATTTCCTGCTGTGGCATTGTATGCTGACAGCAGGGAGACTTGTCCACATCCCTGCTGCCTGAATACGATGGAGTGACAATTGAATTCCTGGCATGGACTGTAAAAAAAAAATATTTTGCTTACCTATACACTAGTGACTGTTGTCACCTTCAAAGTGGTTCTCTTGTGAAGCAATGCACTTTTCTAGACAACTGTGCCGCTGTTGGAAATTCCTGGAATTTGTTTTCCAGCACATTGCATGTTATCTTTGTCATGGCACGCTGGATGTATGGAATGTCATGGAATGTCATCAAATCTGTGTCCTGTTAAGGCATTTTTAAATTTTGGAAACAGCCAAAAGTTGCAGGGCACTAAGTCAGTGGAAAAAGGTGGTTAGTCCAGTTTTGGAATGGATTCCTGGGCCAGGAACTCGCAAACACTTAACGCATCATGTGCAGAAGCTTGTATCTACCTAGTATTTTCTATGTAGTATCATCTAGTATTTTCACAATTAGAAATTGGCAATAACAGCTTCCATGTTTTTTTAATTGGTTTCCTTTAACCATGTGCCCTCTAGAAGATTTACCCCCCTTCCTGGTCACGCCATTTTTTGCGATATGGCACTGCGTTACTTTACTTGTGCGGTCATGCAATGCTGCACCCAAAAGAAATGTATGTCTTTTTTTCACACAAATAGACCTTTCTGTTAGTAGTATTTGATCGCCTCTGCGGTTTTTTATTTTTTGCGCTATAAAAAAAGACTGACAATTTTGAGAAAAAAAAATGTTTCACTTTTTGCCAGTAAAAAAAAAAAAAAAAAAAATCTAA